GGGGCGGCACTTGGACAGGCCCTTACCGAAGGCCACCGCCCCCACCAGCGCGCTGGTGTCGGCTGGGTTGAACCAACATTTGTTCTGGCGCAGCGCTGAAGGACAAAAAAAAAGAAAAAAAGAGCGGCCATGTCACCCCAAAAAGATAAAAAAGTCAGGGGGGGGGGCAGCCCACTTGCTTTCCTTGGTTCCACCCTCCTCCCTGTTTTCTGCCACACCCGTCTTTCTTTTTCCCTTGGTTCTTTCCATTGCTGCCTTCTTCCTTCCTTGCTCGCCGACATCCTTCCTTGGGCCTTTCCTTCCTTGCCTTCCTCTTTTCCGTCCCACCTCCCTTCACCACCTCCTCCCTTCCTACTTCCGTTGCTTTCTTTCTTCCCCGCACGCCACCTTTCCCCCATGCCCGTCTTCCGTCCATGCTTGCCTCTTTGCATCCGTCACGCCTTCCTTCAGTTCCTTGCCTCCCTCCCTTCTCCTTTCATGCCCTCAATCGCTCACCCCTGCGAAAGTGGCCAATCCTTTCCACGGGACTTTCCGATCCAAATGCCACCGATGGCTTATTGATGAGTTGACAGCCGGCGGCGGGGAAAATGGACGGTCGCCGACAAGGCCACTCACCCGCGCTTTCAGCGTCTCGCTCGTCTCTCGGGTTGCTGAGTTTCTCCAGCAGGTTGGAACACAACTTGTTCAGAGTCTGGATTTGTTTCTGCGAGGTCGGGGGGAGGAAATCAAAGCGTCAAGGAAGCATGGAAGGGGAGAGCAAATGAGGGACGCAGGGAAAGAAGGTGCGAGGCAAAGAGAAAGGGCTGTCAGCAGCACGGAAGGGAAGGAATGGGGGTGGGGGGGGGGTAAAGGGTATCGAGGAAGGAAGAAAGGAGGATCGGTTGGGGAACTCTGAAGCAGGGCAGGACGTGAGGGAGGAAAGAAGCTAGGGAAGCGTACGCGCGCCCACCTGCGCCACTTCGGGCCCGATGCGTGCGGCCTCGATGCTGAGCAGCTTCTCCTGCTCCTCCACTTCGGGGTCGGGCTTGGTGCGCAGGTAGTCGGGGACGATCTCGTGGCTGAAGACCGGCACGCGCTGCTCCGTCACTTTCTGAGCACAACAACAACAACAAAAAAAGCGTTTTTTTTGTTTTGGTGGCCCACCTGGATAGTTCCGAAAGGCCCATGACAAATCCCGCTGCAGCTCAAAAGTGGTCGGATTTTGTGCAAACGATTCCGAAGGCAGCCATTCAGCATCATTCGCTGGTTCCCAATGACTCAATGGAGCAAATTTGGAGACAAGACGGCGGCAACGCTCGATCCTCAGCGACGAGCGACTCCTCCGAGTGCCCCGCCGAGCAGCTGAGGTCGCCTCGCCGTTCAGTTCAGCCGTCTCACCGCCAAGTCGTCGTCGCGGTCTTGAGAGAGCAGCAGCGGGATGATGAGCTGGTTCCGGAACGACGGCGTCTTCTCGTTCTTCAGCAGCTTGTTGATGGTGTTCAGCTGACCCGACAGCAGAGCAAAGTTGTCCAGCACCGACGGCCTGAGGAGGCGCACAAGCAGGCACAGGCGCAAGCGAGCTCAGTGCTAACACGTCTTGAAGGAGACGACATTGTCCGGCTGGCAAAAGCGGCCAAAGTGACTACTTTCGGGTTTTTGTCCCGATGGATCATCGTGCCACCGTGGCTCTCCTTGCCCACAGGCAAGGGCACCACCGCGCCCTCTCGGCAACGTTTTCGTTCTCGCTTGACTCAAGCGCCGGCACGTCTGAGGCCGGGGGACTCCCAATTTGGGCGGAGGACCAAAGTAGCTTTCTCACCACGTGAGTCGCTCGTACTCGTTCTCCAGCTTGAAGATGAAGGAGTGCAGGGCGTTCTTCACGTGCGCCACTTGCGTGATGAGCGACTCCAGCGAGGCCTCCAGGTGCTTCTCTTCGCGCTGCTGCAACCGAACCACACGCGCGCACACAAACGCAAACGGGGGTCACAGTTCCGTTGAAATTAGGATTGTTCCAATGATGCATTCATTTGTTCAGTATTTTGTCCATTCATCAATAAATTGGATTCAAAACGAAAAAGAAGCACTCTCTCCATTCTTCAAAACGAGACATGACTTTTCAATGCACTGCATGTTTGCACTGTGGTTGAGAGGAAAGAAATTTCATCTGTGCTGTCTGTTGCACATCGAGCATATTTGACAATCAAGCTGACTTGACTCTTTAGTACATTGCACTTGTCGGCGGGACTTGGAGTCACTTTCTTTTTTTAGGGTGCTACTTGGTGTCTAAAAAAAACTGCAGTATTTGACGAAATGCAACGATGCCCCCCTGGTGCGCAGTCCAGTTTTCCATTTTAGTAAGCGCCCGACTTTCTAATGGCTCGATCGGCTGGTCATTGATGCCTTAGCCTTAGCGGCTAATGCTCACCGCCCCAACAGCCGACGAACGTTCGCAGAGTATCCGGGAGAAAACCCCCAACACAAAGACTCACAAACCGAAACTGAAGTCACATCTTGAAAAGCTCAAACGTGGGTCTTGAAACAGACAAAAGTTGGTATTCCATCTGCGTCCACTCACCTGCATCGTCAAGCGGAAAGGTTTTTGTTGTTTTCTTTTTTCCGGTCTTCTTCTTCTTCTTCTTCTTCTCTTCAATGGCGCCCCATTACCGCCACCTCCTGGAATGGAGGGCGGATCTGGATCATCATGTCGTAGCACAACTTCCTATTTTAACCAACTGCCATCTCTCCCTGGTGCCGACTTGGGCCCCCAACACTCTCAAAACGTGGCTCTTTAAAAGGAAAGCGATGTCAAATCGCACTGGAAAATCGGTTCTGCCGTTCAAGGCGGCCGGCTTCTTTCATTTTAGGGTATCGAGGACTAAGCGGAGACTCAAAAATGGATGCAGCCGGTTCGTCTCGGTGGGATGACCTCCCCTTCCCAAAACGTTCCTCGCTGCCCATCGTTAAACCTTGCGCTACAACTTATTTTTAATTGTCTTTTGAGTCAGCATGGGACTTGAGTGTAATTTTACTGCCGTTTACACCACGTCCGTTATTTGTTTTATTGTAGGATTAATTTTTGCTCCGTGTACAGCACTTTGCAAACAGCGGTGGCTGTTTTCAAGTGGTCTGCAAATACGGTCGATTTGATTCGTCTCGTTCAAAGTCACCTGGGTCCAAAGTCCAGCTCACCCCGAAGTGAGGACACGCCACAGAAGATAAAACGGGCGGCTGGAGGAGGGAAAATAAAGGACAACTTGAGATGACAGCTTTATTGAGCACGTTTGAGCTGAATTGTGAAAAGTGAAGCTGGTGCAAGCTTGCTTGGCCCGCGCGGATTCAGAAGAGACTCTCCACGTCGCCCATTTCCACCACCACCGTCTTCAGCTGCGAGTAGTACTCGATGGCCACCTGACCGTTCTCGCGCCCGAAACCTGCCTCAAACAACCCCCCCAAAAAAGAAAAAAAGAACCGGTTGGCGGAAAGACAGTTGTGGTGTTTGCCTTGAAAGCAATGGACATTTCCACACGAGCAGCGGTGACACAAATGGAGACAGACAAGATGCTTACAGACGCGTTTTTTTAATCGGCTTGCTCTTATACTGCCCCCTAGTGGCCGAAGCGGACACAGCCGAGTTAGCGGCAGAATGACTTGAAGCATTTCAATCAAGATGCACATCCGCTTGACGTTCGAATTAATTTTTCCCTATGACTCAGTTTTCATAAAGCAAAATGTTATCATTTGCTATTCTCTCTCTCTCTCTCTCACAGGGGTGGGGGGGTGGGTTTACGTTCATTTCAAAGAGCGCAGTCACGGAACGAATAAAATGTTCATCTTATCAATGTACAAAAATAACAGCAGTGCAATGAAAGCAGTAATATTTGACATTAAAAAATATGTATGTCAGCGGAAATAATGTATGAGGAATAAAGTATTATGTGAAATAACGTCGCAGTAAATGAGTTCACGCAAAGCCACGACGAAAACAGGCTTAGCGACGCCTGTTTTCAAAGTCGGAACTCCGTCCTGCTGAAGGTTTTCCCGGCCTCGCGGTTTTGCGTCCGAGCCCACCTGACATCTTGTATCCTCCGAAGGGCACCTCCACGGGGCTGATGTTGTAGTTGTTGATGTAGCACGTTCCCGCCTCCAGCTTCTCGGCCACCCGGTGAGCTCGTGAGATGTCTCTGAGGGACGGAGGGGGAGAACATTTGGCGGTGAGCGCGCCCACCCCCCAGCCCCTCAAGCCGCGACGGTGACCGTCACCTGGTGAAGACCCCGGAGGCCAGTCCGAAGGTGGTGTTGTTGGCCCGCCGCAGAACCTCCTCCTCCGTGTCGAACGGCAGCACCGACATGACGGGTCCGAAGATCTCCTCTTTCACGCACGTCATGTCGTCCCTGCAGTTGTCTGCGGCAAAGGCGGGGGAAGCGCAACGCGGCCACACGACGAAACGCTCAGGACAACAAGTCGAAAACGGGTGCGGCCACGTACCGGAAGGAAACGCGCTGGGCGCGTAACACCAAACGCAGAGGACGAGGTCAAGGAACACGCGAGCGCACCGCGAACCCTCGATAGAAGGAGCATCGGCTGCCTAGCTTAAAGCTCACCGAGTACACAGGGCGACATGAAGTATCCTTCCTTGAGTTTGGGGTCAGCGGGCACGAGAGGTTCGCCGCCACAGAGCACCTCGGCTCCCTGCGACGACACCGCCGCCAAATGTTGAGCGTGAGCGCGACGCGAGCCTGAGCGCGACGCGAGCCTGAGCGCGGCGGGCTTTGACTTCTTCTTCTACGGCTTCTTGCTCCTCACTTGTTCCTTGGCCTGCTTGACAAAAGCCAGGACCTTCTCCAGCTGGGGCTTGCTGATGAGCGCTCCCATGCGGGTCTGATCCAGCAGGGGGTCCCCCACCGCGATGGCCTTGGTCCTGCTGACCACCTTCTCCAGGAATTGCGTCATGATGTCCCTCTGCACAAACACTCTGGTCCCGTTGCAGCACACCTGCGGCCGCCAAAGTGCCACGATGACAAACACGAGGAAAACAAGAACTTTGAAAAGGAGCGCAACCACGACCCGAAAGCCCAAAGCGTACGACAACTAAAAACAGGGGCGAGAGCCGCAACCGGGCTAGTAAAACAACCAGAACAAGCGTCGCAGCTCGACAAGAACAACAAATAGAGCAGGAAGTTGAAAGCAAAGTAGAACAAGAGCCTAAAGTGGAAGAACACAACAGAAAACACAAGTGCAGGAAAAAAAAAACACCCCGAACTAGAAGTCCACCAAAAACACCAGGCACAAATTCAGCCAGAAGTTGAACCAAAAATAGAGCGACACCAACAAGTGCGACATCATTTTGACAAAATTGTCGGGCATGAGCCACAAGTCGAACAAAGCCAGCACCGGAAGCGCAGCCACAAGTCGACAAGAACGACAAACCGTTGAGCTAAAACCCCGAGACTAAGCGGAAGCCAGGAGAACCGGAAGGACGTTTGTGAAAACGTTTTTCGGGTGCCAGCCCGCCGAGGCGCTCACCTGCCCTTGAGTGAGGAAGTTGGCCATGAGGGCCCCCTTGACGGCGTTGTCCAGCTCGCAATCGTTGAAGATGATCAGGGGCGACTTCCCGCCGAGCTCCAGCGTCACCGGCTTGACACCCCGGGCCGACATCTCCATCACCTGAAAGGCCAGAGGACTCGGCATTCCGGCGATCCCGGTTGGACCGCCAGCTACACGCTGGTCTCCCCGCAGCAGCCCCTCCCTTCCTGTCGGGGCGGGGACGCATCGGGGACGCGTCGGCGTTACCTTCTTGCCGGTGGGCACGCTGCCCGTAAAGGACACCTTGGCCACCTCAGGGTGCTGGCACAGCAACGTTCCGGTTTGGGCGCCCCCTTGCACCACGCAGAAGAGTCCTCGGGGTACTCCGGCCTCCTGGTAGATCTCGGCCAGGACGACGGCGGTGACGGGCGTCATGGGGGACGGCTTGAACACCATGGCGTTGCCTGACAACGTCAAAGGTCACACGGCGCCCCTCGCGCGCGGGGCCAAAATGTTCGGCAACTGACCGCAAGCCAACGCGGGAGCGGACTTGACCACGGCGATCTGGAAGGGGTAGTTCCAGGCACCGATGCCCACGCACACGCCCAGAGGCTCCCGACGGGTGTACGCAAAAGCGCCGCCGGGAAGCTGGATGTGCTGACCTGAGCAGAGACACAAACGCGATTTGTCATTCTCACTTCGACTCTTTTCATCGGGACATATTGCGCAACTACTGCAGGTCCCCCTCGAAATTCCTCCACCGTTTTGGATTGCTTTTAGTTCTTCTTGGGCTTCTTTTCCAGTTCTGCTTCTCCTTCAAATCCCGCTATCAGTTCTCTCTAGTTCTCAGTGCGGTGGTTCGTCAACTTCTTCTTTTCGGTAGCTCTCGTTGCTGTGCTTGTTGTTACCGTTCTACTCGTTCTGCCTCTTTTTCTTATCACAGTTCCAGTTATTGCTCTAGTTCAACGTCCAGTAAGTGGTTCTGGTTATTGTTGTTGTTCTCATTCTGTTCCTTGTCCTTCTGGTATGCGGTCTAGTTATTATCATAATTTTATTTATCTTTGTTTGGGGGGCGGGGGGGTATTGTTGTAGTTTTGTTTCAACGACTATATCCATTGCTCGTTCGACTGATCTCATGACACGCTTGGGGCGTCGCTGCAAATTTTTCCGTCTTGATTTCAGCGAGGCGTTCCCTGTTGTTACCAAAACACGCGGTTGGCAATTCATCCACTTGGAAGCTCTAATTGTCGTCGCAGAGGGGTTAAGGTCGATGCGCCAAGTCGTCGGTTCGTCCTGTGCAGCCTCGTAGACCCACCTGCCATGGTGGAGGCCAGTCCGGCGTAGTACTCCATACACTGACAGCACCCGTCGATGTCCGCCAGAGCTTCAGTGATGGACTTCCCGTTGTTGATCACCTCCAACTTGGCGATCTTCTCCCGCCGCTCCTGAACATAAAGGTCAGTCAATTCAATTCCGTTTCATTTCAGGTCGTGTTTGAAAGGAGGGTGGAAAGCATCGCTCGCTTGCACAGAAAGGAAGGCGTTTTCAAAGGAGGGTTTCAAGACGGGCTTATTGTTTGAAATCGTGGTGCCGAGGAAGGTCGGAGCTTCCAAGGAAACGGTGTCAAATGAGGGTTTGAGGACAGACGGTTTGGTTTCTTCCAATCAAGATTAGACTGCAGTACAACTTCCTTGTGGCAAACAAAAACAAAAGGATTGTGATCCCAGGGAGGACGAAGGAGGCAGGGAGGGCCGCGTTCACGAGTAACATCTTTGTCTTTTATGGCCATGGCGAGAAGAGCGCGTCCGCCGGCGTCTCACTCTGATGATGCGAGCGGCCTCCAGCATGACACGCGCCCGCTCCATGCCCGCCATCTTGCTCCACTGGACGTAGGCGCCGCGAGCGCTTTGGATGGCCAAGTCCACCTCATCGGAGCCGCACGGGGTCAACTGACACAGCACGCGGCCTACGCGCAGAGCAAAGTGCACAATCAGCACATTCTTAAATTGTTTTGAGGTCAGCAGGAACAAAAGGCATTGGGAGGGGGGGGAAGGTGGCCGTTGCGCAACAACTTCATGAACCTCGATCCCAACAGACACAGAAACAGACGCAGCCTCGAGTGCTGGATCACACGTCAGCATTCCCACCATGTTGAAAGCGTCAAAGAAACGTTATGCTTCAACACGG